ACTCTACAGGGGGTGGACAAAATGATGGGAACAACAAGCAAGATAATGAATAATTACTCATTAACTCATAATGAGTTGGACCACTCTTTCCATACAGAACGGCTCCATTCCTTCTTTCAGTAGTGTTATACAAGTTCTGAACTTGAACCCAGTGAGGTACTGGACCAATCATCAAGAAGCTAAAAGGAAGAAGGTGGAAATCAACTTTAACAACTTATTTTCCAAATGTTCTCACAAAAGTTCAATAAGGTAAGATCACTTTATCGGCCATATACAATTTCTTGTATTAGGAATTTGTCTTTTCGAGGATTACGCAGGTTACGCAATACTGTTTAATAATCTGGTGATTGGGGAGGCCATGGAAGCTGCCTGACTTCATCCTGGTGTTCGTGAAACCACTCTTGAATCTGTTCAGCAGCGTGTATAGGGCATTATTTTCTCCGAATATGGGAACATCTTGAGGAAACAACGTTTGCATCATAGGGTGCGCCAGGTCGCCTAAAATGGCTTCATATTTCCTGGATATGACTCTACCATGCAGAGCAATAATGGGACCCAGTTACTTCCAGGACATAGCTGCCCATGCCAGAACAGACCCACCAGCACTGCTTAACTGCTGGAAACAGGCAGCGTGGGCTGAAGGCATCTGAACCCATTCAGATAGAGGACAAAGGCTAAAAGACATCTAGACAACTCTCCATGTCCTGTGCTCATTACACCAGATTCTGCATTGCTGTGCACCGGCCTTGCTTAGAGGAAGCTTACAAATGGCAGCCCTACCGCAGACATCAGCTCTGTGAAGCTTACGACGTACAGTTTTTGTTGACACCGGATCACGAAGATTTAGATTCTCTCCTATGTTCATTTGTGAGGCTCTTGTTTTGCAGTTTTTTTTAGCCAGTGAGCTTTGACTTGCAACCACTGCTCCTCTTTCCTGATGTACGTCATCTTGATGTTCTATTCAGCGCATCAAGGGGAACAGTGTAATTTTGCTGGTTCTGTGACCGACGCACCTGCAATTCGGGCACCAACTTTTTGACTTCTTTCAAAATCTGTTTTGTGAAACTCACAAGTTAAAGTGTTGATTTAAAGGCATTCTTTATTGCACAAACATATTGGTAATCGGTATTAAAATTAATATGAAAAGTGAAGAATCCCTCATAATTCTGATTTGCATTTGTTCTCCCCCCATGCATAGATCTTTCAAGCACGAACAGCAGTCTTAATATAAGACGAAAGGTTTATCCTTTTAGAGCTCTTACTGATGTAAATGAAGTTTCTCTGTATATTCCAGAATGCTGATTCACAAGGGACAGTGCATGCTGTTTTTTACTGTAGTCCAGGCGCCGAGACTGGGATGAAGAGCAATGAAAAACACGTCTTGGTTTCCCACAGTTGTACACAGGCCAGGCAGGTGTGACAAAATGTGCACAAAGAATCCTTGCTGAAATTCTGTTCTTGTAGCGATACACCGCAAGATCACTTGCCAGCCAGCAGCAGCGACGGTACGAACTCACACTACTCTCAGGTCATGCCTTGGGACTAAGTCTCAGGGTCTCACGCCTTGGTCTAAAAATCTCACACATTCGCATCAAGTCTGGGATGACTTGATGAACGTAAAGGAAGTAATGAACGTGTCATTTTGAAACTTTTGTACAAACTTGTAATTCCACGTGCTTTTTTGCATGTTGGGAAAAGAAACCAATAACAGAAATAGCATGCAAAGCGCAATTTTCGAAGAAAAGTCTCGCGCGTTAGGGTCCTTGAGAGCTGTTGGTAATCGACAGAAAAAAATAAATGCAAGGCTGCCTCGCAGCTGAGCCACCGAGCCACAGACAAATACTGGAGTGTAGTTAAGCTACACCAACAACATAGCCAGCTCACAAACTAGTACCGCTATCCAGCTGAGAGAGAGCTCGGTGTGGAGGGGAGAAGGTACCACCTGCCCTCACCTTTCTCCTGTGGGAACCTCTGACACCTGTGGTAATCAAACTTACCCTGCAATAAAGACAACTGACACAACATGGCTTCCTGAGGTAACAGTAAGGGAAATACAGAAGATTCGTATTCAACAAATAGAAGGGAAATGATCTTTCCCACCAGAACCGGGCTTGGTGCAGGTCCTTCCATCCTATTGATCATAATAGCCACGCCCTGAATGATACACATGATACCTGTTATATGTGTCTGAAGCTCTTTAAACTGTGGACTGCAAGTCTGGCTGCAGCTGCCTTGAGTACCAGATTTAACTGGAAGCTCTTCAGTCCTCTAGAATTCCACACACCAGAGATTCCCTTTAAACTTGTGGGGTCAATTTGCGTTTCCACATTTGCAATAAATTTGCAATTTGTCTAATAGACACAGGAGGTGATGGAGTGGCAGGTTGCACCATAGGCTAGAGGTTTATCCCATTTGGTTCACCGAGAGAGGTTTAATACCTCTGCATTAATGCTAAGGACGCAAAGGTGTGTTTTCTTTTTAAAGATTGAAAAATATCTTTGACAGAAATAAAAGGGGAGGGCAAATCCTTGATTTTCAGTGCGTGTCCAACACAGATTCTTAGATAGTTGGTGGAATTTGCTATCGGTACAGCAAGAACACAAATGAGACATACATACAACATATACAGTACAAATTTAAATAGGACAGAAGACGGACAAACATCGTCACATACATACAGTATGTAAACAACTTTCCATGTAGCAGCATAAGTTATACAGTGGAATTCGTGGAGCTCAACTTGAATTCAGAGCTCGCATGGCAGTGGGAAAGAGGCTGAGGTTGAAGCAGGCAGTCCTTGAGAGGGAGGATTTGAAATGCTTTCCAGAAGGGAGAAGCTGAGAGAGATTATGAGCTGGGTGAGGGGGGTCCGAGAGGATTCTCTTGGCACGACTGGAGGTGCGGCTTGGGTAAAGAGATGAGATAGAAGGGAGTTCACAGCCAACACGCGGGGGTAGTCAGTCAAACAGTAGACCTTGAATCCATCCCTGCGAAACTCTTTGATACAGTCAGCCTTTTAATTACATCCCTCTACAGAATTTCCTAACCGCTTTATGCAACACAGGGTTGCAGGGGTGCCAAAGCCTATCCATGCAGATTAAATTATGACAATAGTAAAACCTTTCAAGAACTGCGAGTACATAAATCATGCAATGGAATGGACTGGGAGCTTCAGAACTAGACTATCTCTGTCTGGCAAATCCTCTTTAATTCCATCCTTCCCTTTTCCAACCACTTCATCCAATTCAGGATCACAGGGGAGCCAGAACCTATCCCAGCAAGCAACGGGCACAAGGCAGGATACACCCCGGACGGGACGTCAGTCCATCACAGGACACACACGCACACAGACACAAGCATGCACACACTCACACCAGGGCTAATTCTCCCAGAAACAGATTATCCCACCAGTAGGTCTTTGGAGTGTGGGAGGAAGCCAGAGCACCTGGAGGAACATGGGGAGAACATACAGACACCACACAGACAGCGCCGCGGGTCCAGAATTGAAGCCAGAGCCCCAGCGCTGCCCGTCATCATTGCTAAACACTGTGCCAGCCTGCCAGCCTGTCCTATTGAATGAGAAAGTGAAATTCCCCATGGCTGGACATCCTCAGTTTCCGCACAAAATCTAGATCTGTCAGTCTGTCGAAAGTGGACAGAATGCAACTCATTAAATCATCCCACCAGGCTGACCTGCTGCATCTTAGTAGGTATTTACTGTGCAGAGATCCCAAACCAGATAACTTTGGTAGCTTTTCTATGAACGTGAACGGTACTGTCATTCGGTGTACAAGCAACCTCTCCTCAACTCATTCTCTTATTACACACATATACTGAAAAAGATTAAGTACTACAGTAATAATACCTAGTTACGGTTTTGATGGATATTCACTTAAATCAACTTAAGTACAAGGGACAACTTATTTAGCTTATGATGTGTGTAAATAATATACTCCTACAGTATTTTCTCAGTGACATTTTTAAATAAACGCGACGTACCAGCATTTATTAAAATGTATAAAGTACGTATACAAAACCGAAAATACTGAAGAAGAGGCAAACTAAATCACGTGCAGGAAAGGACAAACGAAAGCATTCAACTAAAGATAAAGACTTATTTTCAGCTAGATGTATGTCATGTCAAATTGCAGCACGTAACCATTTGAATGTTTCTGCCACTCCTTGTGAAAAGTAATTTTTCATCTGTTATTTAATCATTTCATTTAATCATTTCTGCTACTGAATGTCTTACACTTTCACTATCCAGTTTCTGACATAGCCGACATTTATGCAAGGCTACAGTTTCTACTTTTCAACTCCCTGTTGTCAATGTATCCCTGTGCATGCAAAAGTTTAAAATTAAAAAAAAAAACATTTAAATTGCTCACATTTTCTCACATACTGTAAGCATTTAGTATTTAATTGCTAAAACATTCATTCCTGTTTATTACCATTTCAGAGTATTCTCAAAATATTTTAATAAAACACTTTAACACTCAGGATTAGATTTTAAGTTACAGGCAATGGGAGAAATTTAAATACAGTATATTACTGCACGATACATTGCTTGGTAAACATTATTACATATTATACATTACTAACATTGACTTTTACCATGACAAAATAACCACTTCAGTGCTTTAAAAATAGCACTGATCGACTGCCACTCTTCCGTAAAATGGATCATGCATTTCCCTTTCACCTGGTGTTAAAGTGCATTTACGATACAGACCCACTGAATGAGACCGAACACGGGCAAAGGTGCTAATTAGTTTAATGACCCTACAGACCCTGCTGAGCGCCCAGCACTGCACGACATTCACGTCGCTCGGGAGAATCACTGCCCAGGGCGGACGACAAAACACTGTCAAAAAGAGGCACTCGACTTGAAACGGAAGGATTGAACTCCTCGGCAGGGGAAAAAACCCCAACAAGTTAACACATGTCAAATGCTTACGAGCATCCTCGGCGGTCTAACCAACAGACGGACCACTGCCTACCTGCGTTGTAAAAGTGATCCAGCACAGCCGTCTCCCCGAAGTCGAGCTTGCCGAAGTGCACGGTCACCAGCTTGCTGCCCACGCCGTCACAGGCGTCTCTCAGGCACTGGAGGGCCATGTTCTCGGCGGCGTGCGTCTGGCTCACTCCGCTGTTGATCACATATGCCACGGTGATCGCCCTGCTGTGGCGCTTCCCGACCGATAACAGACCCCCGCAGTCAGCGGGGCAGCTCAGGGCGCCCGCCCCAGCCCGGGCCCCGGCCCCTGCCCCGCCGCCGGACGCAGGGTCTCGCCAGAAAGTGCCGGCGGCGGGGACCAGACCGGCGCGGCCGGTCCTACCGTCCCCAAGGGAGCGAGCAGGATTCCCCGGCTCATCCTCTGCGTCAGGAGAAGGCCAGAAAGACGGCACCGAAAGTGATATCCCTTCGACGTCTTCACTCATTCTGGGGTGGGGAGGGGGAGATATTTACGGGGTCCGGTCGACTTCTGACACAGTCACAGCGCAGTGTTCCCCTCGACGCCTGTTGGTGTTTTTAAAGTTTGTCCGCCTGTAGCGTTACGCAATTCTAACACCAGCATTCTGCACCGGTTATCAGCGGCTTTTCTCGCAGCTTTCCAAAACAGACCTCAAATCACTTCCGTCTGGCATGGGGCAGCGATGTATGTGGCACTTCGTATATTATGCAGTTCGTAATTAAAAAGAAAAGCGACGCAAATAAGCGTTCAAAGTTGAGATATCCCTTCTTGCAGAAATGAATTGTGCCAGACGCATTTCACTCAGCTTCACAGCGTCATCGTTGCAAGCCAAACACTTTAAAAAATCCGGGATTTTATCCTTTTCAGCTTCCAAAAATCTGTTGATTTCTTACCGATAAAACATCTAGAGATGAATAAACCTTCCTCGGCTGTATTAATCTGTCTTGTCGCCCTTGCGCGTTTCCTCTGCGCTTTGTGTAGTTTGAAAAGTTCACCAGGAAAGAAGGTTTCAATTCCTATAGATCGTCTCCACTGTTTGCACAGGTTTCCACCGAAGCCATCTTCCTAAAAGGCAGAACTTGTTTATTCGTAAAGCTCTGCGATTTTCAAGTGTTATGTCACTAACAAAGCATGCAAACAAGTTCAAAAATATTTCAGAGCTACTGCACAATATCAGGAACCCAGACCCTGCCCTCCTCCAGCTCTATTATCTCCCCTACACGGACACACACGCTCGCTTCGAGAGGGCTGAACTTTAATTTTGAGGCGGGTTGATGACCAAATCAGGAATGAGTAGTGCCCAGTCTCTTAAAGCCACAGCACCAGCTTGCATCACTGTTCGTGCAGCGAGGGGAGATTTAAAAAAAAGTAACCCTCCAGACACGCGGAATTTAAGTGAAACAATCACTTGCTCTCCAGTAACAGATTAAAATCCCTATTCAAACTGCTGAGCTGATGGTCCCTGACTTGCTTGTGAAAGTATTGACTCTCAATTGCGGGTCACCAAGAGGAAGCCGGTGTTCCGCGTCAACAGAAAAGCTCAAGACTCACGACAATTGCTATTCGACCGTGTACAGTATGCAAGAGAACAGGTAAAAGTAAATTCCATGCTGAAAGGAAAAGAAAAGAGACACAACGTTTCAGCTGTTCCTTTGCAGCCTACGCACGCTGACACCTACCTACATGAACTTCTTTAAGTATAGTTTACCCAACCTGCCGTGTATATGGCTTCCTAAATTCATATGTACAGATGACAGTCTTTGCTGCACAGGAAAGATTACCAAAATGTTAAGAATTGACCTAAGGTTTTTTGGGGGTATGTTCCTCACTGGAGACCCTGACCTAATCCCCCCAAAACCACCACAATCGCCTTCCTCCTGAGCATTCGTACAGCTAGTTGCCACCCTTGATATCTGTGAGCTATGACCACACTCCAACAGGATGGGGTTATCATAGATAAAAGCCTGCCATTCAGGCCCTATATAGAGCAGATCAGTGAAACGGTCTAGCTCAGAGCAGCTCTGATACAGTATCTTGCAGTATCGACCTGGTAAGGGTAATACAATGAGAGATCAGTGCTGCAAACCTCTGATTCTCTGTGCACTGTGTCAAGGCCTGGCTTGGCTGTGCAGTTGAATAATGCGATACACATCATACCCAGAGCTCTGAAACGTACACCGGCCCTGTGGACGCTCCCTCTGGGGGCAAACATTCTGCCCCAGCATGATCACAGAGCCATGCAAGTTGTAAGGGAGCTTACCAGCTGCCCTGCCAACAACTCCCTACTGTACCCAATGGAAACTGTCAGGTGCTTCAGGTCCCTTAGTCTGCACGTCTCCACCGACTTGGCTTGGTGTCACAACACTGTAGCCAGTCTGAAAAAGGCACAACAGCGCCTGCACTTTCTGCGGTGCTTAAAGAAATGTGGTTTGGGGAAGCAGCTACTCATGAACTTTTTCCACAGCACCTTAGAAAGCGTTCTCACTAGTGGCATCACTGTGTGGTACAGCAGTACTACCACTCATGACAGAGATGCACTACAAAGGGCTGTGGCAACAGCACAGAGGATCATAGGATCCTACCATCAATCGGTGAGATTCACATCATCCACTGTCACAATAAGGCCCAATCACCAAATCCATCCTTCAGGATCCCAGCCACCCCTGCTCTCTGGCCAGCGGTGCCACACTGTTAAAGCACAGGCCACTAGACTCAAGAACAGCTTCTACCCTACTGAGTGCACATCCTCAACAGCTATCTGCAGTGCCTCAGAGTCAATACACATCTGCACTCTGCACTATGTGCATGGACTACCATCATATTTATTGTTCCTGTTGTTACTATTTATTATATTGCAATGTACTGTCTACATTGTGTGGTGTTGTCTGTTGTACTGTGTGCATCCCGAGAGATCAGGGTGAATAAGAGTTCTATTGTATGTGTGCACATGGCAATAAACTCCGCTACTCTACTGTACCCATCAACCCTGATCTCCGCAATCTGGGAACACGCCGCCGCCCTTGAGCAAAAGCGCACCAGGACTCGGGAGAATGCTGGCCAACAGCATGGAACAATGAGATCATCCCAGATAAACACCTTATCCAAGACGCAGGCGTTGAACCTGTTGGCTCTGACACTGTGCAGACGCTGGAGAGCTGTCGGCCACGCCAGAGCACAGAGGGACCGACGCGCACTTCTCCTCCATGATGGAAAATTAAGGGAAGCGCACGCAACGGGTGGTCACTGTAGCCTCTGCTCCTTCAGGGAGGGAATAACAGCGACGCGCACTTTCTCCTGAAACCATGGAGGGTCTGGGAGACCTTGACACTGGGGTTCAGCTAGAGCACACATTGCCACAAGCAAGAAGGTGAATATTAAACAAAGATCACAGCATATGATATTTCCAAAGTTCACGTGTGTTTGTGTCTAAACATGTGCAAGGTAGTGCAGTGTAAAGAAAATCAACAAAATAGTCAAAACATGAACAATTTCCCAACAATCTATGCCTGCCAGATACACATATTTTTTTACAAAGATGTAACTAAAACACTGCCTGTTTCAATTAATAGAAAAGGACATGAATTCGAGTAATCGCCTATAAGTATTCTTTTAGATCCCATGTTCCCATCCTTAGTTTGTAGGAGCTGAATCTGCGCAGCCTTCCAGTTCTTTTCCCAGTTGAGCGTTTATCGACCTCAACCCTTGGATTTTGCTGCCACCTGCTGGAGAAAGCGGTCTACAACCTCGTCTCAGTCATGATCTTTCCCGCTGCTCTTTTCTGCTGCTAATACTTGAACCAGACGCAACAGAGCACACGAGGAACAGTAATGCTTAATCATTTCTTAGAAAGTCTTTTTTTCCATTTTAATTTTACACTAAACAGTTATTGACCACGCTTCTTTGATCTGGTTTATTTGATCTTCAATGTAAATGTGAAAACACTCCCTTGTGGAATGTATGTAGTAAATGTTTAATTACAAAAAATCTTATCATGTGTAATTAGGTTTATCACACTTTCATGTTTAGTATTTAGTTTCCAAATGTCCTGTGTGGAATATTAATGTGCAATTATATATTTCATTAATCCAATGTTATATAGAGTACAATATATACATCAGCTGTGGGATTCCACACAATTTAGATATTTAATTGCCAAATTGGAAGTCAAGATTTGTTCTGTAAAATTGGACTACATATCTTATATCATATTATAAAGATTACAGTTCTTACTGTGTTATTGATATAAATTAACCACTAATGCTTATTCAGTATAGTTATTGGTTATTATTTATGCAAGCTAACATTTTATTTATATGTCAAACGAAAATACTAAATATTTATTTGCAAAATAAAAGACTAGTACCTACTATCTACAAAGGTTTTATAGCTCTATTCTTCTTATTTTTTTATTGAAGCCCTTTAATTGCTCACTATTTCAATTTGATGTTAGATTTTTTAAAAAATATATTTCACATCACTTTTCTACCCACAATAAAAGAATACTTTTTTTTTCTTGCAGTCTGACAAAAATACCAGTAAAGGCAAAAGGTCTAAATTGTCAAAGGAGTAATTCTAAGGAGAGCAAGATACAGTTATTAAGTGATAAATGCTCCTGACACCAGCCATTATGATGTTAAGTTATGAAACAGCAGTGACATGGCCCTTGGGCTGTTTTGTAATAATCTTAAGGAAGTGTTCTCTGAATTTCCTCCAGGATGAGACATAAAGGACAGGGTTGATACAGCAGTGTGATAAGCTGAGTATCATGGTGATGTTAGAAGCAGTCATAATCTCTTGCCAGATCTTACATGTCTTATCCAATATTTCTGCTTCTATTAAAGTTTTAATAAAGGCACAAATATTATATGGACTCCGAAACATAATAAATCCCAGCGTCACCAAAAAGACGACGTGTTTCTCTTTCCTAGTGTTTTGACTGCTGGTTGCGGAGTGGCTGCGTGATGCTGCCCAGATGAGGAGGAGCAGCAGAGGGACAGCCGAACCGACTGCATATCTGAACATGTGGAAGGGAAGCCAGAGTGCTTCCAGGCCTGCAGGGTGGTCGTGTTCATGGCAGACGAGAGACTCGTTCGATGACATGGAGACTTTGTGGAAAAGTGCAGCTGGTGAAGCAAGAAAGGTCCTGACCAGCCAGGCCATGAAGCAGAGAGCCACTCTGTTCATTGGCTTGATGATGCCGGCATGGATGAAGAGTAAAAGTGGGCTTGCAGTGTACTCTTTCAGATCCCGCAGTACGGAGACGGCTTTGCACAGAAAGTCTCCAAAAATCCACAGCAAAGGCCATGATGGGCAGGGACAGAGAGGAGAGCAGGTCACTGGCAGCCAAGTTCAGCAGGCAGACATCAAGGCAGCTTCTGCGGTTCCTCATGGTAGCCAACACCAGCAGCACAGAGATGTTCCCCACTACACTCAAGACAAACACTGTGGACAAGATGGCGACCACGGCACCTCCGCTGATCTCAAACAGAGGAGCATATGCATAGGTTTGTGTGAGGGTGTGACTAACCAAAGCTAACTTTGAATGTGAAAAAAACTAAAGAAATGGTTTACGATCCGAATGCTGTTAACTCTTCCAATGTAGTGATTCATGAGGAACCTAGTACCTACAGTAGGTAAGTTCATGTACAGTAAGTGTTTAGGGATATACATAAACAACAACCTGAGCTAGACTACTCAGTCCAAGTCAGACTAGTTTTTGCTCCAGAGTACAGCAACATTTGTATTTTTTTTGCAAAGATTAAGAGTGCTTGGAGTTGGACAGAAAAAAAGCCCCTCTTGAGTGCCTTTTTTAGATATGGTGTAAGTGTGTGGTTTGGTAATTTATCAGTCCAATTAGGATAAAAAATCACCCGTCTTGCCCAAAGAGCAATGAAGGTTATGGGAGTGAAACAGCTCTCCTCCTTGCAGACAACTTTTGAACAACTCATAATCAAACCGGCAGAATCAAATCAAAATTGAATCAAATCATAATGAAAAATTCTAGCAAATCCTTTTCATATTTTTAAATCCTGAATATCAACTTCTTCCCTCTGGAAAACATTTCATGGCCCCTAAGATCAAATAGACACAAATATTCATTTGTTCACTTAGCTATTAAAGCAGTTAATACAAATAAATGGCGATGGCAAATGCAATTGTTTCAGTATAAACTGTTGTTATTCTGTAACAACCTATGTATGTGTAATATGTTGTGACATTTTTGTAATAAGTTACCCATGTGCAATAG